TCTGCTCCCCACTCTGTCTCTGGTGAAGCCTCTTGCCGCCCCTGAGCCTCTGGCCTGTACCCCAGTTCTGTATGCACAAATAAATAAATCTTTAAAAAACAAACAAAAAAAAACAGGCCTACCTTTTGTGTAGGCAACAGAACCCTTTGGGGAGCAGTCTCATCTGCTGCTAAAGGATCACGCTGACTCCGATGGACCAGATGAAAGGACACAGCTTTCTTCTTTTCAATAAAGGGCTTTTTCTTTCTGTGAGGCTTCAAAGGAACAGAGTCAGAACAAGCCATTAAAACAACACAACAAGAGAAAGTAGACATCAACAAGTTATACAAAGGCTCAACCGATTTTTAAAACCTACACATCTAGGGCAGGTAACATGAACAGTATTCTACCAATGGTAGAGTCACCTTCCTCCCATAACCATCTGTCGGCATCTATACTGTGTCAGACCTTGTCATGGGTAATGAGAATACAGACATGGGAAAGTCAAAGTTTCATTTTTTAGTAAACACCTCGTCAAGACAAGGACTTTGATAAAGAAACAATTAAACACAGTGTGTGCAAACAAGTTCGAAGTTATTTTACTTTTCCATGAGTTACTTTAGATTGGGTTGCTGGGAGAAGGTCCCTGACAGGTTGAACCAGAATGGGAAGGAGTCTGCCACAAGAAAATGTGGGGCAGACAGCTCCAAAGAGGGTACATACCATGCACCTACTATTAGTGGAAAGGAGAAAACAAGAACTAAAGCTTTTAAGAGTCATCTTCCTTTCAAAGTCGTGTTCTTCTGCTCTTTCTAAAATGAGAAAGCATCGTTTCACTTGAGTAAGAGGGCTTGCTTTGAGCCAACCTCACACACTCTGCCAAGTTTCCTTTCCCCAGAGTACACAGGTGAGCTGACACCTGTTAATTCCTGGGGAGAACAGCAACTCTCTCTCCACCCGATCTCATGAGGGTTGGGTGGCACAGCTGGTCCCGTCACACATTTCTGGGCTCTTCGGGGTAAGGGGGAGGTCAATCTCACCTGTCCCTTGCTGGGGGAGTTTTGGCCGTGGGAAACTCACTCTAACTTGAAAATTATGGTCGAGACTCCCCGCAGCGCCGACCTAGTCCAGGGCCACAGCACCCACTGGCGCTAGAGGAACCGGCCTGCCTCGGCAGAACCAGAACGCCCCGCCCCCGAGACAACAGGGCTGGCTCACCATGCTACAGCCGCGCGGCGGTCACCCCAAAGAAAAGCAGCGACTGCACTCTGAGACCCAAAGACGCGACAAGCTACGTCCCTGGCGACTCCAAAACCAGCTCGCAGCCGCGTCTTTCGGCCTAGCCGCACGTGCAAGCCGGGACCCGGAAGAGAAGTCGCGCAGCGGCCCTGGAAATAGACCAATCACCGAGCAGCTGACCGGTCGCGGCCGGAAGTCACGCAAGCCTTTGCCCCCCTCAACGATCGCGAGACGCCATTGGTCCCACCCCCTGGTGGGCGGGGCTCTTCGGTCCCTAGTTAGTCTGCGGGTAAAGGCGTCGCAGGCACCTACGTGGTGGCAGAAGTCGCCAAAGTGGCGTGCAGTTTTGGGGAGAATTTCCCTTTTATTGTGCTCTCTGCCGAGAAACTGGCGTGACGATTCTTGCATGTCCACTGCCTATTCCTAACAATAAAAAAGAAAAAGCAAACACACGGTGTCGGGTCCCCGAGGTTTCGGGTTCCCTCTTCTGGGCCGCGAAGAGTCGGTTGCCTTAGCAACGGAGGGTGCCAGGGCCTTCCTCGTTTAAGCTGCACCAGGCTTAATCTCTTATTTTCCACCTTGTAAACTGAGTTAAAGACTGTCGCCAGTAGACATTTGAGTCAATATATTCGGAATCTCTTAGGTTAATTTACCTTAACAAGGTCTAAGCTAGTGTTTTTTTTTCCCTCTTCCCAGTCCGTCCTCAACTGTTTTGTTCTAATAGGCCACAAACACACCTTAGGGCAATTGCCTGCCTCAGCTTTTCCTGAACAAAAGAGGGTACATTCGAAGTTTCGTCAGATATTTTTCCCCCTCAATATTTTTTGTGTTTCTTCTTAATTTCTGGCATCTTTCCAGTGTCTCAGTTATCTTGGATTGTGTCTGTATGTCCTACCTATTATCACTATTTTTTTAAATATTATTTCATTGCAATAAAATTATAGAAACAACTTTGGATCGGACCACAGAATTTGTCTCTACAGAGATAATACATAGCACTGCTATGTATGAGATGTTCATCATAATTTTGGTCTAAGTGGATATATTTTGTATTATTTTGATCTGCTTTATTTCTATCCTGGAACATACAGGATAGAATGTTTGTTTAAAAAAATTAATATGCTGGCACATTACCTGAATTATTTCATGTCTTCAATGCAACAAGTGTTATAATCGTCATTATTTTAAAAAATACTGACACTGAGGTATAAGTAAGCCACTTAACTTTCTTAAGGTGACACAATTACTATTGAAGGACAGAGTAGGGATTTTAACCTGAGTCTGACTTCAGTCTGGCCATTTAACCCCACCACTTACTTTTTTTTTTTTTTTAGAAATAGTCTGTTCCTTTGCATGTTTACTGATCTAAAGCTAACATAAAACACATGGTGTTATGCACTTTGTATTCATTATATCATTTAATTCCTTTCTTAAGCCTGCAAAGTACAGTTAGATGACACTAAGCCTATTTTACAGCTGTTGTGCCTGAGGTTCAGAGAATTGGAATGACTAACCTAAGGCTCACACAATAAGCAGAAGAGCCCAGATGTATACCCTGTCAGTGTGGTTCAGAAAAGCAACACCCTTAGTTATGTACTACACTGCCTTCTAAGGCAACTGGTCAGCCAGTTCCATCCATTCTACATTCTAAATATCCAAAAGTTTTCTTATTGGCCTACTGATCAAATTGAACATTTTAAATAATCTAATCCCACCATGGTACTTCTTTTTAAAAAACCCTTCAAGGTCTACTTTCTGGTGTTAGGATAAAGTCTAAACAAACTTTACATCACCTTTTAATTTTAACATGGTGTTCATTTACTTCCCCATATACCCAACCCTATCATAGTCTTTGCAGTTCCCAAATGTGCCTGTAAGGGATTGACTTTCCATACCCCAATAAAAGGTGCTTGTTCTCCACTCTGTTTTCGAGTATTAGTTTAGCCATTTCTGCTTCTAGGAAACACTCTTCAAAACTAGAGCCTTTCCCAAATGCTCCCACTGTATCCTATTATTACTACTCTGTCTAGTTACACTAAATTTTAGATCCTTATTATTTTCATCTGTCTTCAATAACCTACTCAATTACAAAGAACTTTGTCTTGACAACTTTACTTCCCTAGGATAGCATAGAAAAAGACTTAATAATAATAGCAAAGGTCAAAGCCCTTTTCATGTATTTACTCATTAAAATCTAACAAAAGTACCAGAGATTAAAGAATATAAAGTTAATCCAAGGGCACACAGCCATAAATAATGAAGCCAAACTGTGATTGCAGGTGTAGATTATACATCATACTCTTTTTTTTTTTCTATTTCTACATTTTTTTTAAAGATTTATTTATTCATATGGAACTGGGGTGCAGGCCAGATATGTGGAAGATGAGAGGATTCTCCAGAGACAGAGTGGGGAGCAGCACAGGCAGATAGACGAAATAGACTGCTGAAGGGAGCAGCAGGCAGGTCAGGAGAGGTCTGTCTCACCATGTGGATCTCCTCCAGGGCAGGCAGGAATCGAACTCATGCGGAAGTGGCTTTAGCTTCTTAGTGCTGTGCTTTAACCCGCTGCGCCACCAGGGAGGGCCCTAAATCATACTCTTTAACTATTATCATAGACCCTATTCGAAAGTCAACACATCCTTGAGCTACCATGTATCAGAAACTTTTCTGGATACTGTATATGTAGTAGATCATTTAATATCTGTAGATATTGGATATAATATCTAGTACAACATATTATTTGGTTTCCCTTAGTACAATAAAATATTATTTCCTATCATTAAAATCACCCCATATTTGGCCTTTCCTGGTGGTGTAACAGGATAAAGCACAGCACTATAAAGCTATCCACAGCCACTGCACCACAAGTTTGATCTTGGCCAGAGAGATGACCCACATGGCACAGCAGACCTCTTCTGATCTGCTCACTGCACCCTTCAACAGTGTATTTTAGTTGACCTGCCTGTTCTGCTCCCCACTCTGTCTCTGGTGAATCCTCTCACCCCTGCACCCTGTACCCCAATTCTTGTAGGTATAAATAAATAATCTTAAAAAAATCACCCCAAACTGAGATGTTATAGTTATGATCAAGTATCCAAGCCATATTTTTCCTACCTTATTAACATTAATTAGTGACTCCCATTTCAAAATAATTAAGCAGAATATCTGGTTTAATCTTGATGTGGAAGATTTTGTAGGTTTTTTATATGAAGCCACTTGCCTGTTGAAATTGTTTATCATCTTTTTTGATGAACTCCATTTATTTCACTTTCAGTGGTTGATTTTTATTAGCATCTCTAAGTACCAGGAAAATGATGTACACAAAGGTTGAGAAAACTTGCTTGGGATAGCTAACCAACTAGTATCTTGGAACAATCAAGATAACCAAGCAGTATCTTGGAAATTAAAAACTACAGATTTGATAGTTATTATGGAGCTATGGAAGGATTGAGTTTACAAAAAGCATAAGTAATTAAGATGGATGTCCCAGGACAGTCAGTGTAATACTGTATGTAGAAAAATAAAACAATTAAAATTTTAATGCTCAGGGATTGTTTGGGGGGAAAGAATACCCTTCAGACTATAGATTGTAGTAGGCTGTTAGAAGGAAGAGGCAAATGGACACATATTGCTACCTGTTAAATCAGAATAAAAGCAGATTACCAGATGCCATGATAGGTGACATTTTTGTTTAAAAATATATGAACAGAACAGAAAAAAAAAATATATGAACAGAAAAACATTTTAAGATACATCATCGAGTAAGCACAGAAAACAATTGCTGGACTCTGCAGCAAACTGGTTTTCTTTTCCCAAAGAACCCGAAGATGTGCAGGGAACTTTCAGTTTTTATTTTGGATATTTCTTTACTGTGAACAAGCCTGCAGTGAAGACTTAAAATATTACATTTGGTATATATATGTATAAAAACTTAAAAACAACCACCAAAATGAACGCAGGCTAGATAGTGATATAATCTGGCAGAATAGAAATGGTTGAAAGGTAATTTTTTCAATGGTAAAATAGTGACCATACCTAAGATAAAATGAGCACATGCGCAGTGTTTCATTTAACAGTGTGTCAACAAGGGAACCAGTAAGATGGTACAATTAATTCAAAGGACTAAAGAAGAGAAACATTTATACAGCAGGGATATTGGGAACCTTTACCAAATAGAGATGAAACTGGCTTCTTCCCCAGTGAGCAAAGGAAAACAGTTAACCTCCACTGCATAGAATTTACGTATGTGTCTAGGACAAGAATTATTCTGCATTACCATCAGATTTTCACAACTGCAAAGTTGTGAAATACTTCAAAAGCAAGGAACGTCAGAACTGAAAGAGTGGTGTTTGTCTAAAAAATGCATTATTTTCCACTGAAGCACAAATTTTTCCCTCCAGTATTCAGTGGAAACTGTGGTGAGCCTGCTGTGCTAACTGAGTGAAGTTCCTGGGTTTTGTTTCAACCTTTTTTTAATGCGGGCATTTTATAGAAAACAGTATAAATTTTGGAGTTAGGCATCTGAGGGTTCATAATCTAATGTGACTTTATGGTCTTGATTGAAATACTGAAACCCTCTGAATTTCACTTTCCTTGACAGTCAAATAAGGCTCATAAACATGCTCCCACACTTCCGGTAAGTGTGGTGAGAACGAATAAAGAGGACCAGGATGGACAGTCCATACATAAGCGATGGCTCCATCATGCAGCCTCCTTTCTGCCTGCCCAGGTTGGCCACCCAGCTCTCGTCAGGAACCTTTGCATCTGGAGCTATTGGGGTCAGTGTATGGAATCTTCACTAGCCACCTCCATTTAGCTATACCCTTCCCCCCTTGGCTGGACACGAGAATGGGCACTTGGGACCAGTTCCAGTTAAAAAATCACACTCTGGGCCCTCCCTGGTGGCGCAGTGGGTTAAAGCACAGCACTGAGAAGCTAAAGCCACTTCTGCATGAGTTCGATCCCCGCCTGCCCCAGAGGTGACCACATGGCGAGGCAGACCTCTCCTGACCCGCCCGCTGCTCCCCTCAGCAGTGTACTTCGTCGATCTGCCTGTTCTGCACCCCACTCTGTCTCTGGTGAATCCTCTCACCCTCCGCATCTCTGGCCTGTACC